AGCAAACCTGTCTTGCATCATTGGTGGGCATGGCTTGAGCTTCTGCCCACCTCGACACGTAGTCCACTGCAACCAATATGTACAGATTGCCAAAAGATGGAGGGAATGGGCCCATGAAATCGATACCCCAAACATCAAAAATTTCACAAATGACAGAAATATGTTGGGGCATCTCATCCCGGGCAGAAATGTTACCTGACCTTTGGCAGCGGTCGCACTCTCGTGCGAAGGTGTCTGCATCCTTGTAGAGTGAGGGCCAATAGAAGCCCGACTGTAGTACATTCCGCGCCGTGCGGTTTCCTCCATGGTAACCTCCAGTAGGTCCCTCGTTGCATTGAGACATGATGTCTCCCATCTCGTGCTCCATGACACAGCGCCGGATCACGCCATCTGCTCCGATCCTGAAGAGGTAAGGATCCTCCCAGAAGTAATGCTTCAGATCGGAGAAGAACTTGTGCCTTGCATGAGTGGCCATCCCCTTAGGTAGCTGCTTGCCCACCAGATAATTGGCAAAGTCAGAATACCAAGGGTCACGCTTTCCACCAGTGTCATCCTCAGCAATCTGTCACCCGGGAAAGAGTCATTGATCTCTTCCACGAAGTTGTCCACCGGAGGGGCTTCTAACCGTGAAAGATGATCTGCAGCAACATTCTCGGCTCCCTTCTTGTCCCGGATTTTGATGTCAAATTCCTGTAGGAGCAGGATCCAGCGGATGAGCCTAGGCTTTGCATCAGCCTTGCTCATCAGGTAGCGAATCGCCGAGTGGTCAGTGTAGACCACCACATGGGAGAGCACCAGATAGGGTCGGAACTTATCAAACGCATACACCACAACGAGGAGCTCCTACTCAGTGGTGGTGTAATTCTCATGTGCATCGTTCAAGGTCTTTGACGTGTAGTAGATGGGCTGGAAGTGTTTCCCGCGTCTCTGACCTAGAACTGCTCCGACCGCATAATCACTCGCATCGCACATCAGCTCAAAAGGAAGAGACCAGTCAGGAGTCACCATGATAGGTGCATGGGTAAGCTTCTCCTTCAGAGTCTCGAATGCAGCTGTGCACTCAGGTGTGAACTGGAATGGTGCATCCTTCTCCAGCAGCTTGGTTAGAGGCAGGGCAATCTTTGAGAAATCTTTATTGAAGCGCCGATAGAAGCCTGCATGACCCAGAAAACTGTGAATCCCCTTCACAGAAACGGGAGGAGGTAGCTTACTGATCGTCTCAATCTTCGCGCGATCTACCTCAATCCCCTGCTTGGAGATTTTGTGCCCGAGCACAATCCCCTCACGGACCATAAAATGGCACTTCTCCCAGCTGAGTGCCAGATTAGTCTCTTCACACCTCTTCAGAAGGAGTTCCAGGTTATGGAGACAATGAGTGAAGGAGTCTCCATAAACCGAGAAGTCATCCATGAAGACTTCCATGATCTCTCCGACCAGTCGGTCGAAGATCGCCATCATGCATCTCTGGAAGGTTGCCGGCGCATTACACAACCCGAATGGAATCCTCCGGTAAGCAAAAGTGCCGAAGGGGCAAGTGAATGTGGTCTTCGCCTGATCCTCTGGTGCAATAGGAATCTGGAAATAACCAGACATGCCATCCAGGAAGCAATAAAACTCATGACCAGCCAACCTCTCCAGCATCTGATCAATGAAAGGTAGGGGAAAATGATCTTTCCTGGTGGCGTCGTTCAGGCGCCTGTAATCGATGCAGACTCTCCAGCCGGTCACGGTCCGCATCGGGATCAACTCTTTCTTCTCATTCGAGACCACAGTCATCCCGCCTTTCTTCGGGACCACCTGAGTGGGGCTGACCCACTTGCTATCACATATAGCAAAGATGATCCCTGCATCCATGAGCTTCACAATCTCTGCCCGGACCACTGCCTCCAAGTTAGGAGACAATCTCCTCTGCGGCTGCATGACTGGCTTAACCTCATCCTCCATCAGAATTCTGTGGGAGCAGAAGGATGGGCTAATGCCTCTGATATCTGTGATCTTCCATGCCATGGACCGGGCATACTTCTGCAGCAGAGCCACTAGCCTGCTTTTCTTCTCGGGTGTCAGATCCGAGCTAATAATGACCGGGAGCTTATTCCCCTCCCGGAGAAATGCATACTCCAGGTGAGAGGAGAGGGGCTTAAGCTCCAACTCTGGTGGCTCCTCCAATGATGTAGCGATCCGGGGCGAGATAGGGATCGGCTTGAATGGTATCTCTCGCCCCTCGATCGCGGCCTCGTCTAGCTCCGCGAGCTGCTCCTCCAGCTGCACGTCCTGTGATGCTTGTTCCCCTAGCAAAAGACAACGCTCAAGGAAATCATCAGTACCCGCACTCATGATGGCGAGTGCGGTCTCAAAGTCATCAACAACATCACAGTAATATAGATCATCATGGAGCTGGGGTTTCATATTATCAGAAACAGAGAAGGTGATTTGTTCACCCCTAGCTCGCAAAATCAGTTTTCCATCATTCACATCAATGAGCGCCTTGGCGGTGGCGAGAAAAGGTCTACCCAACATCAATGGCACATCCACATCCTCATTTATGTCCAAAATCACAAAATCAACAGGATAAGAGAATGGCCCTACTGCGACTATCAAGTCCTCTTCAATGCCCCTAGGATGCACAATGGATCTATTAGCAAGTTGAATGCTCATCCTAGTATCATTGGGTTCACCTAGGCCTAGCTTTTTAAACAATTTATATGGCATGACATTTATGCTAGCGCCTAAATCCGCCAAGGACTTCCCTATATGCAAACTATCAATCATGCAAGGGATAGTGAAACTCCCTGTGTCTTTTCGCTTCTCTGGTAGTTTGTTCTGCAGGATGGCAGAACACTCCTCGTTGAGCATCACCGTTGACAGCTCCCCAAGCTTCCTCTTGTTGGTGAGGAGATCTTTCATGAACTTGGCATACTTGGGCATCTTCGATAATGCCTCCACGAAGGGCATGCTTATATTCACCTGCTTCAGCATTGCCATGAACTTAGCAAACTCAGTCTCCAGTCGGTCCTTGTGCAACCGAGTAGGAAAGGGGAGCTGGGGTACATACTCCTTCACCACTGGTTGCGGTTTAGGAGCAGGCACCTCAACCTCCTTCTCCATTTCCTCTTCATTAGCTGGAAGTGCTGAAGCAGGGGTCTCTCTCTCTTCTGCCCGAACAGGTGGATCGGCAGTCACCTTGCCACTCCTGGTTGTGATGGCATTGCAGTTGGCATTCGGGTCCTGTGGATGAGGGATGGTCTGACCGGGTAGAGTACTAGGAGTCCTCTAAGCTATAGCCTGAGCAACACTCCCATGCTGGGTCTGGATATCCCGAAGCACAGCCTACGTGTTTCTCTGACCAGCTTCTAGCTCCAAGAATTTGCCTGAAGCTTTCTCCATGAACTGCTCGATGTTATTCAACTTGTTTGCACTGGAGTTGGCCAGAGAACCCACCAGATCTCGCAGTTCTGCCATCGGGTCACTCTGTGCTGGGGCTGCAGGTGCTGCCCCTGTCTGCTGAAATGGCCGCACCTGTGACTGAGGTGGAACAGGCCCCTGCCTGGGCGGGTAGAGTGGCTATTGTGGCTGCTGAAATTGCCCTTGTCTGGGCTAGTAAGGAGGCCTCTGAAAGCCAGGTAGTCCCTGGGGGACTGGTGGTCTGGAATTTGCCCCACCCCAGGAGAAGTTGGGATGTTGGCGCCACCCCTCGTTGTAAGTGTTGCTATAGGGGTCGAAGCGCCTGGCATTGCCGATGAAGTCCAGCTGCTCCTGGGGAGTAGAAGACTCCCTCATCGCCTGGCAATCCTCCACGGTGTGATGAGAACTCTCACACCACTGGAAGAGCATCGCCTGCTGCTGTCCGGTACCTGCAATCTTCGCGGAACGATCGATAGCTGAAGCCAGCTTCGATACCACATGCACCAGATCAGATGACTGGGTGGATACAACATGCACTCCCCTTCCTGGTGCTCGTCTCTATCTCCTTGCAGTTCCCCAGTCATAGCCCTGCTCTGCCATCTCCTCAAAATGTTGATTCAGCTGGGGCGGTGTTTTGGTGAGCATATTCCCGCCACAGACCGAATCAATCAGCTGCTTGTACTCCGCGAAGAGGGCGTGGTAGAAGGTTCCCACCTTGAAGGCATCAGTAAAACCATGGTTAGGACACTTGAGGAAGAGACTGGTGTATCTCTCCCAAGCATCTCTGATGGTCTCATCCTCATCCTGAGCAAAATGGGTAATTTGCTTCTGCAGGTCCGCCGTCTTGGACGGAGGATGGTAGCGGGTGAGGAACTTGTCAGCCAGGTTGGTGATAGAGCCTGGAGGTCGAGTGTCTAGCCACTCTTTGGCCTGCCCCTCCAGAGTAAACGGTAAGTACCTCAGCTAGATGGCATCGGCTGGGACCCCATTTATCTTGATTTCATCGATGAGCTCGAGGAATCGCCTAAGATGTGATCGGTGGCACTCCCCCTCTTTGCCACAGAACACCACCGAACCGCACAACATTGTGATGACAGAGGTGCTCACCACAAAGTTATTTGCTGGCACATGAGGGTGTTGAATGGGTGACCTCATGTCTGCTCCTCGGGAAGGACCACATCATGGTCCTGTGGATCACCCATCTCTTCTTCTTCTTCTTCGGCGATCTGCAGCTGTACTAGCTCCTCCTCTGCAGCCAGTCGCGCCTTTAGAGCCCGCTTGAAGTTCCTGCAGGTTCGTTCAAGCTCCTGGTCTAATGGTAGTAGATCTCCCGACTAGCTACGGGTCATGCACTACCTGCACACAATCAGCAGAAACAACCCGTGAAGGCACACAGGTGGAAGAGATAAGATGCAATAAAGAAAAAGCTAGACTAACAAATTTTCACGTTTCCCCAATAACCTAGAGGGTCCCGGCAACGACGCCAAAAACTTGACACGCCAAAACACAACACCAAACTGCGACCAAGTGTAATCGCAGTCCGGGAATGCAGTAAAGTGGCAAGTTCTAAATATCAACCCGGGGTCTAGATCTACTGCCTACTCCGTGATTATCTATTATCTAGCAAACTAAGTCGATTGAATTTGGTCTTAACTGAAAGCAGAAAGAAAGCAGGAATTTATTCTATTTTCTCAAGCAAAGGAAGAGTCACTCGGGAATAAGTCCCCCTAGCTCCTTAGTTAGGTCTCAGTTGTAATTTCCCTGGGTTGATTAACTGTTGATTAGACTGCGGAAGATCCGACAGTAGCTTGGAATCTCTTAAGCTGACCAAGCCCTCTCAGTATAACTACCCGGCAGACGACTAATCTTCACCGGGATAGAAAGCTGAAGCAATAAGCACAGAACTCCACTACTGGAATTGGATTCCAGTACAAAGCAGTAGAATGGCTAACTCTCGTATAGCCAATCTACTACTATCGAATGATGAGGCTCTAACAACCTAATTAGATTCTATCTATCTTAGGTTGCAGCAGAAATCCAGAAAAGCTGATCAGACTTCAATCAATTCAATGAAACATGCATCATTCGATTAAAACCAAACAGTATAATCATCCCAAGTTATTACAATCAAATCCCTAACACATGGAACTAGGGTTCTTCATACCCAAGTGAGAGAAGGGTTCTACTCCATAGAGAGAGAGAGGAAAACAGAAATAAGAGTAGTCATACTCATAAAGATGAGGAAAATCTGCTCTGGGATGTCAATCTTCACTCCTGGGGACGCAAATAGCTCCTAGGGTTTGTTCTTTGCCCTTTCTCTCTCTAAAACTATGTTTTTGCTCTCAAAAGTCGATTCCCTCACTTGTGGCTCGAATTTGGGTTAAAACCAGAATTCCCGACTCACACGGGCAGGCCACACGGCCGTGTGGCTTACCCAGATGCCCGTGTGAGAGTCAAAACGCCGCGTTTCAAATAATTGGACTTCAGGCTACCTACACGACCAGGGACACAGGGCGTGTGGCATGCCCAGTCTGCCCGTGTGAAGGCTCGCACAATCCCACACGGCCACATTGTTTCCCTACACGGTAGTGTGGGTTCTATGGCTGCCCGTGTGGCTTCCTCAGCGACTCGCCACACGTCCGATCTTCGTCCAATCGACCCCGAACTCGCTCCCAAACCTTCATTCACGTACTAGGACCTGAAATATCACAAACAAGCACAACCTAGCGTGAAATCGGCCTAAAACACGAGAATCAACATCTCAAACGGCTCAAGAATAGGGTAAAAAACATGTGCAATTAACGTTTTATCAGTCATACTGCCACCGACACCCCTCGCCCTGTTCCTCGTGCACTAGAGGGCGATGATCCCCTCGCGATGATGCCACTCGACGTGGACCCCGTCGGAGCACCCGTCGGACCACACCTTCTGCTGCTGGCGCGTCCACTTCTGCTGCCGGCCCGTCTACTGCTGCCCCTCCATCGTACATTGCTGAGCAGCTGGCAGCCATTTCTCGCCATACCGAGCAGATCCTTGCTGGCCAGGAGCACATCAATGCCCGACTCGACCGTGAGCGCGAAGGTCGCCGCCGCATCATATCGGCTCAGCATTACATGATGAGCTACTGGGACATGGACCCTGCTGGTGTTAGCTACCCTTGGGAGGCTTCCCCGGGGCATGAGGATTTCTACCCGCCTCCAGCTGGCGACGGTGGTGACGAGAACTAAGCTGGCTCTGCCTGCTGAACCATCGAGTTGGGCTCTGCATTTGTCTTTCTTTCCAGACTAAGACTCCATATTGTGTTTCCTTTTCTCTTGTCCTGTTTATTTGGATTGTAGACTTGGAACTATGGTTTCTTTCACCCAATGTGTGTGTGTTTTGATGACTCTAGCTCTGTACCTGTTGGACTGGTCCTTGTCCAATCCTCTACTATTGACTGGTCCGCCCTACACTCACCGTTCTTGACCACTTTTTCACGGTAACATCGTTCCCCTTCCCTCTGCTCCATTGAGGACACTGTCGCATTTAAGTGTGTGTGTGTGGGGGGGGGGGAGGGGAGTTCTTTGTATTCATTGGAACATATATATGGGTGCTTGGGGCCTAGTCCGCTGTCCAAATCTCGAGATTTGAGGGCTCCAATCACTGCTGTTTGCTTGATCATATTGGCACTGTGGATTTAATTGTTGAATTGAATGGCTTTCGAATTAATGAATGACAACTGGAGTGTGACTAGGACAGCCTATTATGATGACTGAGACGTGCAGTAGAATTGTGTAGGGGTTCAGTTTTTCAACTGTTTTCTTACCAACTGTGACTTGGAGTGATCACTTGTTCTTGAAAGTCGTTTATGCATCTAGCTCAGGGAATCAGAATGATAGATAGAGCAAATAGGTAGCCATGTGAGATTTAAGCCTACTTGTTTCTTTCTTGTGCGATAGTTCCAATGATGTGTAGCATTCACGTTGTCATTAGCTAAGATGATGGAGGCATAGGATTAGCCCACGACCAAATTGACTGTCCTGGTGTGTCTTACCCCCTAGTCGGCCCCTTTGAGTCGTGTCACTTTCTTTCTTTCGGGTTGTAATGGAAAATCACCCTTTTGCATCTCTTAGAAGGTTGCACGAAGTGGTTTTTGCATGTTCTCTGCTGTTTTGCTAAAAATAATGTGAGGGTTGGAGGTAGTTCTTAAAAAGTTGGTCATGTGTTTGAAAAATGTGCATAGGTGGTGGTTCTCTCAAGAAATGAAAAAAAAGAAAAAAAGATGAATGAAAGAAAAAGAGAGCCACCACCAAAAAATCGGACTAGTGCCCATTAAGTAGTGTTTCTTAGCAGTCTGGCTTGGAAATACTAACATTATTGTGACCTCCTTCGCTCTTGTGCTCTAAAGAACTTGAGTAATGCAGAATGGCATAAAGAAAGTAAGTGGTTTGATTGACTGTGATTGTGTTGGGTTCGGAACTGTGGAACCTTGTGCTATGAATACTTCCACCACCTAAAAGGCCTTTTCCCCATGTCGAAGACCCTATCCAGTCATCTGAACCTGTGTCTAAGACCTCCGGATTAGTTAGTGGTGACACCCCATATGTGAACTCTAACATTTAGAGGCTGCCTTCATGGTGAAGAGACGTTAGGAATTGAGAGAATAAGCATGCGCATTTTTCGCATCAAATTGTCCTGACCCCACTGGTCGAGAGTGAGCAATTCATTTTCTCATATTCTCTATACTCTTTACCCCGGTGAGGACCTAGATTGCTCGGTCTCAATTCTGATATCTTATGTTTTATGCATAAGGTGACTGTCTTGATTAAGTGGTTGAGTCAAGTCTATGTTGGTTGATGAAAAGAAGGGAGACTCCTCCTTTACCCGATTTTGCTGCACTCGAATGTCCCCAGTGGTGGTTGTCCAGGTCGTTGTTGAAGTTGTTCATGTGTTGATGTTTGAAAGACAATATGATTCCCGTGTTTCGTGCCTATGTGATATGTTCCAAAGGGTTGCATGATTGAGATGTTTCGAGCTTACCTTGTATCTGACTTGGTTTGCTTGGGGACAACCAAACGGTTAAGTGTGGGGGAATTTGATAGCATCGTATTTGCACATGTTTTCACTCTTGTTTCCTGACCATTTTAGCTCGAATTTGTTGTTCTTTGGCCTATTTTACGCTAGGTTGTGTTATTTTGTCGTATTTCGGGTCCTAGCAAGTAAAGAGGTGCATATATGCAAGTTTCGGGTCATTTGGAGGTCAGTTGGCGATTCAAGATGCAAATTACGGGCATCCCCTGCCCATTTACGTGCGTAATGGCTTCTTTCATGCCCGTAAATGCAATGCCGAGCCAAATTCTTGAGAATTCCTGTCGCAGAGCAAATTACAGGCAAGAGTCAAAGCAACTACGGTTGTAATTCCACAAATACTGGCAGTAATTGGGTAATTACGACCGTAATTCCTCTCATCAGTGTTAAGTGAAACGCGCGTTTTGGGCGAATTACGGGCAGACCTTGTTTACGACCGTAATTCAACCCGTATTTCGCCCAGAATCTGGTTTTTGAGGCAGATTCGAGCCAAAGGAGAGGGAGTCAAATTTTTGGAGCAAAAACAGAGTTTTAGAGAGAGAAAGTGCGAAGAACAAACCCTATGAGCTATTCGGAGTGGATTTCTCACCATTGAAGCCCAGATTGCATTCCCAGGAGTGAAGATTAACATCTCAAAGCAGATTTTCCTCATCTTTATGAGTATGAATACTCTGATTTCTGTTTTCCTCTCTCTCTCTCTCTCTATGGAGTAGAACTTTCTCTCACTCGGATATGAAGAACCCTAGTTCCATGTGTTAGGGATCTTGATTGCAATGACTTGGGATTGTTATACTGTTTGATTTTAATCGATGAATGCATGATTTATTGAGTCAATTAAAGTTTGATCATCTTTTCTTGATTTCTGCTACAACTTGAGATATATAGAATCTGATTAGGTTGCTAGAGCTTCATCAATCGGTAGTGGTAGGTTGATTATACGAGAGTTAATTGATTTACTGCTTTGTACTGGAATCCAAATCCTGTAGTGGAGTTCTGCGTTCATAGCCTTAGCTTTCTATCCCGGTGAAGACTAGTCGTCTGCCAGGTAGTTGGACTGAGAGGGCTTGGTCAGCTTAAGAGATTCCAAGCTACTTTCGGATCTTCCGTAGTTTAATCAACAGTTAATCAACCCAGGGTAATTACAACTGTGACCTAACTAAGGAGCTAGGGGGACTCATTCCCGAGTGATTATTCCCTTGCTTTAGAAAACCGAACCATTTCCTGCTTTCTTTCTGATTTTAGTTAAAATCACAATCATTCGACTTAGTTTTCTAGATAATAGATATTTACGGGTTGACAATTAGAGCTTGCCTGTTACTGCATTTCCGAACTGCGATTACACTTGGTCGCAATTTGGTGTTGTATTTTAGCGTGTCAACCAGAATAGAGGAATCAACCTAAAAGACACCAAGAAACACCTTCAAGTTAGTGCAGTAGCAAAACGAGAACTATTTTAGAAGGTGAAAAAGCTGGCTTTCCAATAACTATTAAGGCTATCAAATCATTCTTCCTACAAACCCAATGGAAGGATGCTGAATTTCAAACTGATGGGAAGGAGAGGATTGGGGATGTGGATATGATAGAATCCCTGACCAATCAATCGGAAGCCGGAGGCATTGCTACATTGCCAAACATCGAGCATGTGTTGACCTCGTTTTCTTGAGCTTTCAGCGGCTTCTGCTCTCCCTTGTTTCTTTATCTTCCTTTATTTATCTATTATGTTAAGTCTACATAATATCACTGTTCTATCTTGGAATGTATGCGGTGAAGGTAGTAGGGAATTCTTAAGGGTTACTAGAATGTTGACACAAATTTGTAAGCCTCAATTCCTCTTCTTGTTTGAACCTCAAGTCAGTGGTGCCCGTGCTACGACAATTTGCAACAATCTAGACTTTGAGGAAGTCCTTTGAGTGGATGCAGAGGGCCGCAACAGTGGAATTTGGCTTGCATGGCAACTGAATAATCTTCAGGTTGAATTGGTTGATGCGAGCAAGCAGCATATAACCTTGAATGTGTCGAGTCCTTCCTGCTCCAACTGGATCTTTACTAGCGTGTATGGCAGTCCCTAATTCAAGTATCACAAGTTGTTGTGGGAGAAGATTATTTATACTAGTGAGAACTTCAATATGCCCTTGTTGGCGGCAGGCGATTTCAACGCCTATTGCCTGCCATATGAGAAGTCCTATTTCTGCAGCTTCTCTTAGGCACTGCCAAAACTTTGTAAATTGGATTGACTCGACTAACCTTTTTTATTCAGGTTTTTCAGGTCCTTGTTTTACCTGGTACAGAGGCAATTCAACTAGAACGCACAAGGCTAGTAGAATCGACCGGTCTCTATGTAGTTATAGATGGAACGAGATATTTTCAAACACCAATCCATCACATGCCAAAACTAAATTCGGATCACCTCCCAATCCTCACCTCTGTTTCTCACCCATCCTCGGCCTCCCATAGTAATAAGCCTTTTAGATTTGAAGAAGCTTGGTTGTTACATGATATGTTTAATGAGTTTTTTGCATAGGCTTGGAACGAAGATATGGAGTTATCTCATGCCTCAAAGATGTCTCCAAAAAGCTGCAGGATTGGATAAACAAGTCTTTCGCATCATCACCCACAAGGAAAAACGACTCCTAACTAGACTTAAGGGGTTTCAACTAAAGATTGCAGTAAATTTCAATCCATGAATCTTAAAGCTCCAGGCTAAACTCGAGACATAACTTGACACTCTCCTAGCACAAAAAGAGAACATATGGTATCAGTGAGCTATAGAGAAGTGGGTACATCTAGGGGAACAAAAACATCATACTTTTATCATCAAACTTCTCGACGTAGTAGAGTGCTATCTTTGCAAGACCACAATGGAGATTGGGTGGATGATCCGGGGAATCTTGAGAAGTTAATTGTGGAATTTTAAAAGAACCTTTACGCTCAAGAAAACTCGACGTACATGGATCTTTTGCCCAAAAACAGATTCTCAAGGATGAATAAAGAGGATCTCTTATCAATTCTCCGTCATTTTAATATCTCCGATATTCATAAATATGTTTTTAGCATGAAACCTTTTTATCCTTGCATGGCCCTTACGGCTTTCAAGCGGTCTTTTATCAAAAGCTTTGGGACTGAGCCAGGAGGAAGTTGACTCACATGGCTACTTCTTTTTTTACAAAGGTTCTATCCCTAAAGAGATGAAGGATTCCACTATAGTACTCATCCAAAAATGAGAGTCCATAAAATCCTACATAGTTGCGGCCGATCTGCCTCAATAACGTTGACAATCACCAAAGCAATAGCCAGTAGGTTAAAATTGTTGATGCACAAGTTAGTTGCACCAATACAAAGTGATTTCATTCTAGGGAGGCAGACCATCAATAACATCATCATTCTACAAGAATTCCTACATTCGTAGTGAAAAAAGAAAGGTAATAAGGGAGGTTTGGCGATCAAGATTCATTTGGAGATTGCCTATGATAGACTAAGATGGAATTTCGTTTGAGATACCTTGGTGGAAGTTGGTCTTTTGAGCACCTGGACGAATATGATCATGCACTATGTTGAGAGCAACAAAATGAAGATCTTGTGGAACGAGAAGCTAACTGACACTATTACACCTTCCCGAGGATTCCTATAGGGAGACCCACTATCGTCGTATTTGTTTGTGCTTTGTATGGAGAGGCTGTTAATGAGTGGTATAAGATCCATTATTGAACCTCTCCCAACAGCTCAAGTTATTGGGACCAACTGGTTCTTAACTTGGTATCAGAGCCTTATGTGAACGAGAGGTCTTGTGTTCGAATCCAGGTGACCCCATTTGTGAAGCACATATAGTCAAAGAATCAAATGTTTGGAGAATATTTGCTCAAATTTAGGCCAACGTGTCAACGTGGCCAAATCATCTATGTTAGTCTCCTACAAACATAGCTCAGGTGACCCCATTTGTGAAGCACATATAGTCAAAGAATCAAATGTTTGGAGAATATTTGCTCAAATTTAGGCCAACGTGTCAACGTGGCCAAATCATCTATGTTAGTCTCCTACAAACATAGCTTAGGGTAAAGCTCACTGTTTGAGCTTGCAGGTTGGGATTCCTCTTATTACTTATTTGGGAAAATGCATGTGAATCAAAACTCTAAATGGTCGCAACTCTAAGGCTAGGTATGAAGAGCTCTCTATTAGGATTGAACAGAAGCTTGCTCAGTGGAAGATGAAGTGCCTCTCGTTGGCAACTCGTATGGCTTTGGTGAGATATGTCTCGTCATCCACGACAATTTACCCAATGTTTATGGAATTATTTCTAGCTTCTGTTTGCAACTCTTTTAATAAATGTAGTAGGAAATTCATGCGGAGAGGAGAAACATGGCAAAACATGTTAGAAACCGAACAGAAAAATTAGGGTTACCGATCTGGCTGAGTCGCGGACTAGGTCGCTCTCTTTAAGACGTTCGCGGCACTGCCTTCGATGCGCACGGCAGACTATCAGCCGGTCGCCTCCAGGATAAAACAGCCACTCTAATTTTGTTGCTCATCGGTTTTGTGCGAAAACCGGAGCTCTATGAACTCACTCTCTATCTCGTGTTTCTGCTCTCTGAGGTGTGTTTAGAGGGTCTGGGGCGTCTCCTATTTATAG